TATGAATTACTGCAGTCACGAAAGCTTTAAATCAAAATTTTACCGAAAGAGCTAAGAATGTGAAATACAAAAACATGTCGTAACTCGTGGTCAAAGTGCGCCATCTAATGGGGAAACGGGGGCATTACAGGAGAAGGGGAAATTTAATTTAGCAATAATATTTGGACAAGTTCGGCGGGCCGGATTATAAAGCCCAACGGGCCGCACTTTGCCCACGTCTGAGCTAGACACAACTCTTTCACCATACGGCAGGATTCCTCACGTTGGCTATTAGGCCACGTGACATCACGCACGTTATCTCTGTTCTTGGGGGAGCTTGGCTGTCATCTCGCTTTATCTCTTATCTCCAGCTATTTTAACAACAAAAAAAACACTCAGTGGGACACTCCAAGAGCATTTGACTTACAGCCCACCGGTTGCGCATTTACTTACCGTGACAATGTGTGTTTCCCTCAAGTTTAGTTCAAATAAATGTTTAACGAGGTGAGAACTCAAGGGACCAGGATAGTCTCATTATTTAAAATCGATCCCCCGAGTCCAAGGTTGACAAAAGAGTAAGCAACAAAGAAAGTACAGAAATTATCAAATAAAAAATCTGAAGAAAAACAACAACAGCCGCCATTCACCGCTCCGCCACTAACTGGTGGTAATGTCACCAAATAGCTTGCGCCTTTGAATCCATGGTGCCCGTTTCGAAGGCAAGAGGTCATTGGACAGGCCCAGATCATTGTGGGTTATCTGACCGAGGTAAATGGCAGATGCACGGCCTGTGATCCCCACTGTGCCAACTTGTGTGTTTTAGCCGCCCACTGCTCCACTCTTGAGCGTCGCTCCTCCACCCTACATTGATGCTTGCAGAGCGACTGCCTCCAACTGCCCAGTAGCATCGTTCATGAGCCTCCTCCACAGAGGCCGATCTTGACAACGCTGGTACCAATCCTTGGCAAGTCCAATCAGCTTTATATTCTCCTGTACCACAGCAGCCCCTGTGTTCTGTAGCTTGTACCATGACCATTCAGTCCCTTCTATCTGGCTAGACAGAAACTGATTGGGCATGCGGTGGCTGGGCATGTGGGCTATGTGACCCAGCTACACACAGTCTAGCCTCATTGAGGAAGTCACTGGTGTGACTTTGTCCAGATCTTTCAAGAACATGTGAGTTCCTCACAACACAGCCTGGTTAAACGCAGGGTGGATTGGAGGCAGGCCAGCCTGAATGTTTCAAACCGATGCAAAATGTTCCTTTAAATGTGTTCAGTTCCACGAAAACAAAACACGATCATATGAGGAATTGAAAACATTTCCCTCCATTATTGCTTGTAAAATTGCCCTTTCGCCCCCCCCTCCCCCCACTGTAGGTGTCTCAGGTGTGCGATGCTATCCGCTCCTCCATCATGTCACGTCACGAAGGCTACAATATCCGCTTGACCATGCAGTTTGGGGAAATGGCGACGGTGCTGCAACAAGCTCGACAACAAGAGGTAGCCCTCGCCACCTCGTGGCAAGCCCTGGACTCAATCATGCAGTTACAACAGAGTCCCTAGAGGGCGTCAGTAATGGTCGTGTCAGACATGAGCCCTGGGGTATTTATTTACAGAGAGAAAAAGCAACGTAGGAAGTTCACAACGCCCATGGTAGATTGACAACGGATTTGTTGGTAAAGTCACGTAAAATAGAAATAATAATAAAAGGAAATGAATAAAAATAAAACCTACGACGTTTCAATCGCAGCGCAAGCGGCGGTCGTCATCAGGGTTCATATTGGCCATGCCATGTTCTGACTGAGTTCGTACCGGATTGAGGCTTCACTTGAGCCTAACGAGGTGCAGAGTAATGGGAGAAAACTGGCAGAGGAAAAAAAACCCTATAGAGGAATCGAGCCGGAGGACTCCACCATTTGTGGAGGTGCAGATGTGCGTGTTTGGCAGGGGTCTTACACGAGACCAGCACTTAAAACATTCATATGCCAGGTTCCTAAACTTAAATACAAATTGTTGGCTAATCCTTCACTCACAACGCTCCTCCACACGTGGAATTATATCACATTTGTATAACATCTAAACATGATCCTGGCCCACTCAGTTTTTATAATTGTCAAGTCAAAGTTGATTTCCTGCTCAAATGTGCAATGGTGTTGTGTTTTTACGGCCCTTAACCAGTCTTATAAATGTCACATTTCAATGATGGGTGTGAGTCGACCCATAGGACAACCACTGTTTACTTCCCTACTTAGTGGTACTAATTGTATTGTCCCTGGAGGGCTCATAGGCTGAGTCAACCCCCAACCTTAGGATTTTATTGGTTTTTAATAAGCTATTAATTCCATAATTGGATGTTATAAATTTGAGCGCTTTTCAGTTTTGTTGCATAGATAGTATGAGTTTTCAGATTTTAGTTAGACCTTTTCGGCAATGTTAATTGTAAAATGTTGTGAAATGTATTCTAATATATTCTTAGCTGTTACTGCAACTGCTTTTAAAATTGCTTTGTACTTGCTGTGCTTTCGTGATGTTTCATGAGTGCTGACCCAGGGCTCACTGAAATAAAATACATCGAGACTCTGGGCTTACACTTGGTTATAAAGTTAATACTGGTAGGAACCTCCTGGTTATTACACCACCAGCCCACAGGGGATTATTGTTGGGTCCGTCCGTCGTGCATCCACAAATGGGAGGGGTGGGGCTGGGTGGAGAGGGGAGGGTGGGGAGGGGCTGGGTGGGGAGGGGAGGGTGGGGAGGGGAGGGTGGGGCTGGGTGCGGTGGGTGGTGGAGGGGCTGAGTGGGGTGGGTGTGGCGGGGTGGGGAGGGGAGGGAGGGGAGGGTGGGGCTGAGTGGGGATGGGTGGGGCTGGGTGGGGAGGGGCTGGTCACCCCGTGGTGCCCTTATAAAACTCAACGTGTAACCTACTCACGCCGGCTCATGCCCGCCCTCACAGTCGAGCATATTTACGGAATACACCACGTGGTGGTGCCGCCGTTGACCCTGGCCATTGACCGAGCAGCCCAACGTTCCTACTACCAGCTCCCTCCGCAGGAGAATCTGTTATGTTATCTTATGGTTGTGCCTCTACGTGCCTTTGGCCTTGCTTTACATACCCTTTAACTCTCTAAACATTGGGCCTCGCTCTTTGGTCCTTTAGGTAAAGTCACGTAGTAGGTATAAAATAAATTAAATCCGCGACGTTTCGGGCGCAACACAAGCGTCCGCCGTGAGGTGGGACAACCACAGCAAGAAAACAATTGCTGAAGTGGGCAAAAGGGCTGCTGTGACAAGAGGCTATGTAGGTAAGAGAGGGGTTCAGGAGCCAGGGAGGAGAGAGTGGAGGGGGTGTGGAGTAGGGGCAGTGGAGTGCTGCAAGTGAGTCACATCTAGATTGGGTCTTGCGTTTCATTATCAAGTTACATTTTCCGAAAGCGCACCAACCTGCTCTCATCCGCTTATTTTGTAAGTTTGATCCCAGGCGGCCTTCAGTTTTATGCGTGCCTCTTATGGCAGCCAGGATGCGTTCTTGATAAACGGAACACTTCGTGAAACAGCGCTGTAGGAGGTCATCATAACATGCTTCCAATGGAGATGCATTACCGAATGAGCATTGGTTTTCCTCTGACCAAATATGAGCACTTTATTGGGGTATCAGTACCCGCCTTAATTACGATACTGTACACATGATAAATGTTTAGAGTTTTTATATGTATTTAAAACAAGTTCAATGGTTAAAGACGTAAGAGTTATGCCTGTACATGTGTAGTGGGTTCTTTAAGACAGCGTAGAGACGAATCGGTAGAGGCAATGCTTATTTATTACAAAGGTGCTTAACACAATACAATACAGCCTTCTACTTGAAGGGGTAACGGCCCCTTCACCCGCTGCTAGCTGAGGAGGTACGGCTTCGGTCTAACTCGCCCTATTCCTGGGCTAGGGTCTCGGGGTCCTCCGGCTAAGGGGGTCCTAGGGGAGGCTAGTCTGACCTGACCCAGCCAAGGTACAGGTCTCGACCACTGGCCACACGGGACCCGTCCCTGATAAGCCACCCACACAGACACACACTCACCTAGCCACCCACACACTCAGTCACTCACTCACCTAGCCACCCACACAGTCACTCACCTAGCCACCCACACACTCAGTCATTCACTCACCTAGCCACCCACACAGTCACTCACCTAGCCACCCACACACTCAGTCACTCACTCACCTAGCCGCACACACACACACACACAGTCACTCATTCACGCACTCACCTAGCCACCCACACACTCACTCACCTAGCCACCCACACAGACACACAGTCACTCACCTACCCACCCACACAGACACTGTCACTCATTCACTCACCTAGCCACCCACACAGTCACTCACTCACCTAGCCACCCACACACTCACCTAGCCACCCACACACTCAGTCACTCACTCACCTAGCCACCCACACACTCAGTCACTCACTCACCTAGCCACCCACACACTCAGTCACTCATTCACTCACTCACCTAGCCACCCACACACACTCATTCACACACTCACCTAGCCACCCACACACTCAGTCACTCATTCACTCACTTAGCCACCCACACACTCATTCACTCAGTCACTCACCTAGCCACCCACAGACACAGTCACTCATTCACTCAGTGACTCATCTAGCCACCCACACAGTCACTCACCTAGCCACCAACACTCAGTCACTCACCTAGCCACCCACACACTCACTCATTCACTCAGTCACTCACTTAGCCACCCACACAGACACTTAGTCACTCATTCAGTCACTCACCTAGCCACCCACAGTCACTCACCTAGCCACCCACACAGTCACTCATTCACGCAGTCACTCACCTAGCCACCCACAGTCACTCATTCACTCACTCACCTAGCCACCCACACACTCAGTCACTCACCTAGCCACCCACACACTCATTCACTCACCTAGCCACCCACACACTCAGTCACTCAGTCACTCACCTAGCCACCCACACACTAGTCACTCACCTACCCTATGCCCAACTTCCTTCATGTCTCCACGCTCATGTTCAATCGATTCCAGTTCGATGTCAAACATGCATCTCTCCATACTTTTATTTTCAAACACTGTTCTATTTTCTCTTGGGGTTTATATTTGCAAGCGTATTAACCTGCTAAATACACGCACTGTACAGAATGCCAACCCATGTTTTTCAATGGGATTTTCAATGAGTCGGGGTATATTTTTACCAGCCCCCCCCAAAAGGGTCTCTTTGGCATTTATTTCAGAGCTCTCCGTTATGAAATTAAATGGGCAATATTAGTGCCATGGGCTACAGCAAGAAAGGAGCATCACTCGTGGTGGGAGCAAAAACTTTGGCTATGAGCAAGTTGAGAACCCCCCCAAATTGTAAATTAATTGGAGCCGCTAAAGTTACGGCACCCGAGGACTGCCAAGTGAAATCTGGTTTGGGGCTCATGGACAAAATAGCAATGCACACGGCAGACAAACTCGGCAGGTTAAGGAGACTAATCATAATTATTTTAATTTCAACATTCTTCATTTCCACTGCGACCTTTAAAATCTTTCGGTGCAGTCAATATAGAAATCTAAATTAATCCTCCAAAAAATGACAACTAAAATGTAAACGCGTCAATTGCACTTTCGACCTATACCCACGGTTAACTTTCAACAAGAGTGATGGGACATTCACAAATAGTACACAAAGTGACAATGATGTTGACACCGACGTTCAATACGGCATGAAACATGTTGAGTTGTCTTCTATGAAGGCTGGGCAGTGGAGAAGCACAGTTTGAGGGTGTAGAGGTATGGAACATCTGAGAAAATAAAAACAGGGGAGCCACATGACGTCTTCACTGGAGCACACAAAAACTTAAAACAATGAAGCAATTCTTAGGAGGGTCTTTGTCGATGTCAACAAACTCGTTCAGGGAGCTAAGATAACGTTGAGTTGTGATAAGTGAAAGTGCTTGGCTATGTCAACTTTCAATTCCATTCTGTATATGCAAAGAACAACAACGAAATCCAAATCGCCCATAAATAACAACCTGTTAATATATAATACAACAATCTACAACTGCTTTCGCTTCCTGCAATTTCACCCAAGGCTGCTAGGCAGCCAGTGTACACAGATGGTGCTATGGTAATAACAAGCGCCCCCCCCAAATCTGAACATTAGGTGCTCAACAGAGCGTACGACCAAAGATTTGCCGATAATACAGCACCGCTTCAATGTCATCGCACCAACACAAATGGCCAACACCCCACAACTTACTTGCGTTCTTCAGGGGGTGATGGTTAATGCACGCCAGAGCCTCCATGGCATCGTTCTTGGTCTCCCACTCCATCAGGCCGGACACGCTCCTATCGGCTGGACACGTGGACGGACCGTCGCTCATAGAGTCATTTGGGTCGTGTAAAACGCAACACCCTTCGCCATTTTGATTTAAAGCTTTCGTGACTGCAGGGATTCATATTCTTGGTTCTTTCGGTAAAGTCACCACCACGTAGAAGGGAAACAATAAAATAATAAAAATATAACATAAAATTCTCACGACGTTTCGACTGCAACACAAGCAATCATCATCAGGTGTGAAAACCACAGCAAGAAAATTTTAAAAAAGTGGCGGTTATTTTTAACGTTAGCACCACGGAGAGCGATTTGGCAGTTGTTCAGATGGACGAGTCCATCTATGTTCTGAAAAGAGGAGGGGGGAGACGAAAATAATGGATGCGGTCTGAAAGCCACCGTAAGCGTGAACAATCAATTAAGACCCGAAATGGTTTATCAAATCCTTCCAATGATTGCTAAGCCAGAATCAATCTTCTCGGTTGAAATGGTCTGTGTTTGTATATATTTATTATTTTGTTGTTTCCCTTCTACGTGACTTTACCTAAAGAAGCCGTGTTTAAAGGGTGGTGTCAGTCGTCGGTGAATTTCTGCAGCAGGAAGGCTTCAGTCCGATGCCTTGGCTACGCTAACACGCTTCAGTCAGCTTGGGCGCGAGTGAATAGCAAGGACTGCTCTCGGGAGAGAATTTCTCACAGGGTTTCTTGAGCATGGCCTCATAGCACACGTTGCAGATCATCTGGTGTCGTGCTGTAAATCAAGCGACGATTGCATGGAGAATACAGTACACGATTTATTCTGTGCCATGACACGTAAGATAAATAATAAACATACTTTGCGGGACTTACTTTTTCCAGAAAACACTTTGAAAGAGCGGGGCCTCGCAATCGACATTTCGTCGCACAGCTGCGGGGACAGAACGGGCGGCGTTCACGTTATAGTTGGTAACAGTTAACGTGCACCGGTAAAGCATTCGGGAGATGTCATTTTAATTGCAGGCACAAATCCCGTTGTCCATTTTTAAATTTACATTCGCCAGCTTTGGAGCAGTCTTTCAAAGTGCTCAGATTATTGTGAACACCAAGCATAGACTCAGGGGGAATGCAACCATTTGCAGAAACAATGTCCAAAGACTGAAATGTAAACCTTTCGAATACGAATGAATATGAATCGTAATGTATTAAACAGGACAAATTAACGCGAGGTGTTGTCTAGTCTGTAACAAAAAAGTCCCTTTGGAACATCGACTGCATTATTTATACATCTTATGTTTTAACCGCTGAAAGGAAACTACATTACACCATTTTACATTTGTCCCGTCACAGGAAACGTGTCATTGGCCACCACAAACTCCACAACATCAATAGGCTCATCTTAAAAACCCACGATTGTTTCACGTGCAAACTTTGGACTTGAATATTTATAAAAGCTTCACCTGGGAAAACTTTTAAAGAAACCGAACGCGCTCCCCTTCTGCGCTGCTGGCAGCAGGCTGAAGGGGCGGCGGGGGCACGGACCTGCGCGAACATCTCGGCCGTGATGTCCGTGGGCGCGTTGAAGAAGTGCAGCACCGCGGTGGGACGCTGGTTGCGGTTCTTCGCCGCCTTCTCGCTGTCGGCGTAGCGGTGGTTGTGAGAACCTGCGTAGTCCCTGTAGCTGTCGGTGCCGTCCGGCAGCTCGAACGCCTGGCCCGGCACAATCGACCGCTGCCTCGACACGCTGCCGAGACGAGGGCGGAAGGGAGGGAATAGCGCGAAGAAACTGTTTTTAGTTTTTATTTTATCACGTTCCAAATTTCACGTGCTCTTTGGTTCGATTCGGTAAAGTCACGTGGGTAAAAAATAAAATAACAAAAAATCACGACGTTTCGGCCACAACACAAGTGGCCTTCATCAGGTGAAGGGACCGGACTGTCCAGAGGACAGCGTTGGAGTGAAGACAGCAAGCCCAGGTCGCGTCCTTTAAGCTTGTTGTCGCGGCATCTTTTGAGGAAGGTCAGCGTCTCGATGAGCTTTGACTTCTTGTCCCGTTGTCTGTTGAAAGCTCTAACAGATAGGTGAAAGCCCTCCCCGTAGAGCTTCAAATCTAGAATCCAAATTTCACGTTCGCTATTTCAATAAAGGCCCTCCCCGTAAAGCTTCAAATCTAGAATCCAAATTTCATGTTCACCACTTCAATAAAGGCTCTGGACAGCAAGTCACCAGGGTCCTCGTGAGCTGTGTGACAAGTGTTTCGTTCACGGTATTCATCAGCTCTCTTTTTCACCGTCCTAAAATTTAGTCACTTGCACTAAATATTTACTAAAGTTGTCTTCTCTAAATGGAAAGCAGTATCCAATTACATTAACAGGATATGACGAGTTACATTTACCAATTTAACACGGGAACAAAAAGGCTCACCAGAGGTTGATTTTATTTCCAAAGATCTGAGACATATTGAGGTGAAAAACCGCCCTGTGCACGGCGTACTGATCTCCCATCTCGACCATGGCGGCTCCCGGCTTGCTCTTCAGGAACTTAACCTACAAAAATAACAACCCGTAAGACGGTTCAGCATCGCGCAATCTTGCACGAAAATATCTACAAGTTTCGTTGTAACGCATTGTTGAAATGTGAAGTGTTGGCCGAGGGGCCATTAGAAAACATGCACAAAGAACACTTCGCATTGGGTACATTTTTGTAAAGAAAATGACCAAATGTGTATGTTGTCAATCGGTGAACAAATTTGGTCGTGTGAATCTCCCACTTTATATAACACGATCAGCGCACGACGTGCACCACACGCGTGCGTACGCATTGCACCGCGGTTGAACCTTTGGAAGAAAAAAAACGGGGACTCATTTCAAAGCAGGTGCGCGCAACACCCAGCGAAGGCACCTTCTCCACGTCGCCGAAGAGGCAGAGGATGTTAAACACGCGGTCGCAGTTGAAGCGTTCGGCGTCCAAGTCGTACACAATGAGGACCTTGTTGTCGGCCTGCTGGTTCATCATGGCCTGCACGTGCTGGCCCTGGGTACCACCCTGGGGCCCAACCTGGTTGCCCATGCCTACTCCCATGCCCATTCCTCCCCCACCGCCCATGCCGTCGCCGCCAGATCCGTAGTCGACGCCCGGTGGTGGTGGCTGCTGGTGGCCTGTGACGCAAACACACAAGAGGGGGAAACGCATCGTGAACTAGCTGAAACTCTCTAAACTTCTCTGAAAAACAGATTTATGACAGCCATCATCTTACACACGTGTGCCCTTTCCTATAAGGTCAGGTAACCCAGGAATCACCACTCTACTCCTTGGAGACACTGGAAAACATTGGTCCAGAAGACTCAGTTGCCTAGGGAATAGACTAAACTAGTTTTTATTTTAGGTTGAGGGCCACCAAGCTAGAGCTCTTATTCAGCATAGCTTGTTTTAAATACCCAATACATCTGATAGCTATTGGAAATATCGTCTCTTAAAACACAAAGCAACTCATATGTTGCAATTGTTAATCGCAAAAAAAGGTTTTTAGGATGCACCTTAACACTAATTCCAAATAAGAAATGTTCTCAACAGGCAGCAGGTTCTTTCAATCTGACAGCAAGCTGAAGGAAACCGAAATTATAGCATTCGCAACAAGGGGATTACCTCCACAGTCGCCACCACCGCAAGCGTGTGCTTTGGGATGGTCGCCAAGGAGAGACGTTTGCTTCGCTGGCATCACTGCATTGTCCTCTGAAAACAACAAAAAAACGATCACCAAATTCACCCACGGGAAACATAAGCGCTCATTGCTGCACAAAATAAGGACAATCCAAAAAATGCATTCTGCACCCAGAACATTCACATGACCAACACATTAAGAAATTCCGGGCACACTCCACACGGGGGCGCGCTGCGTCTGTCGATAAAAACAATTGGCGGTATTTTAAAATGCAGATTTCACACGGCGCAACATAAATAACGAGCACCATACAAAATACAGCGCGTAAAGAAACGCTCATCGCAAGAAGAAGAAAAAACAAAATTTATTGGAGGTGTACAGATGCACGCGACAAATTGTTCCGAGGTGCGGCGTCAGCGAGTGTCCGTGGTTGCCGCCTGCGATGCCCGCTCGTTTCTTACCCAGTCTACGCTTCGACGGGAACACAAAGTTGCCCAGAGTCGGGCGGCGGCTGACGACCCATCGCGAGGAGGATGCAACAGAAAGGCCGGCGCCTTCTTTCCTGCGCCAACAGCAGTCACGCTCGGCACAAACGGACCCCCCCGCGTTGTCCGTGCCACCGCACCTCTCGCTCTCCGGCGACCCTTTTTGGTTTGGGGCTTAAAATTGGGACGCTTGAAGTGGGCGACGGGGCCTTACGAACCTTTAAAATGAAAAAGATCGCCGCTTATAAACCGATGCGAAATGCGTTGTGTCTGGCATCTGCAATGTCAAAAGCCTCGTTTGCAAACAAAACTTTAGCAAGGCAGTCTAAACGTACGAGCGTCGAGGTAAATTCTCACCAACGGAGCGATTTTAAGCCCCAAACGCATCGGCACACATCCATTCGGCTTATTTCCAAGTCCCGTTCGCGGTGAATGCGGGCTTTCGTCGCTCCCGGCTTCTTCGCGGCGGTTCCGGTGCTTTGCCGGTCTGTCAGCGCCGTGTCCCCCGGTGCCTGCGGCTGGACGCGGGTTATCCGATGGCCTCTGCCAAGCGGCACGTGGCGGTTGCGGTGCAGCGGACGCGGCGTGCTGCGCCGAGTGTTCCGTGACGTGGCGCTGCAGGCGTGGGGGGCGCGGGTCGGCCGTGCGTGTCACAGCGGCGGCGGCGTGTTGGTTGCTTGGTCCCCGGTGCCTCCCAAGTGCCGACGAGGATGTCGCCAATGTCGCCGTTCGTGTCGTCGCCGTTCACGTCGGTGGCTGTTGGCTGCCGGGCGCTTGATTGCTCGTGTGTTGCTTGCAAATTGCCTCCGTGTGCTTCTGTGTGCGGCAATGCTCGCAGATGCTCCTTGTAGCGTTGATGTTGGGAGTGAGGAAAATACTCTTCGAAGCGTTTACGGAAATTTGGCGATTAAATCAAACCGCACCGTGTCCCTGAAGCTCCCTTGATAAAGTGGCGAGACTTACCTCTTCGGAAACTAATATCTGTGCGTACACACAATGTACTCGGGACAAAGATACCATTTTCCTGTTCAGGCTCAATCGTACCAAATTAAAAGGGTTACTTTATAATAAGTGATATTTTCAATCGTAAATATCGGCTTTTCTGACATCCTCTAAGCTTCTCCGCTTAGTATCCAGACACCACATAATGCAGTCAAGGTTTCTCAACCCTACAAAATATAAAAACGCAACGTGCAATGTCCACCTCAAATATGCCAGTGAAAGTTGGCACCTACTTCTGATCCAACAGACACACACCCTGGTAAATCTAAATATAAAAGTAAAACCTTGGATTGCGAGTAACTTGGTCTGCAAGTGTTTTGCAAGACGAGCTAAAATTGTAAATAAATATTAACTTGATAAACGAGCGAGGTCTTGCAATACGAGCAGTGTACGTGTAGACACACTTTGTACTGCCGTGAGTCACGTGATCACACAACTGATAGACGAGTGCTTTGATGTACGAGCGCTTTGGATTACAAACACGTTCCCGGAACGAATTATGCTCGCAATGCAAGGTTTTACACTGTAGTGTAAAAATGCCCAGCCTTGATACACCCCGAACAACCGAGTACCCGCCTATGGGCCACATGCACTTGACGTTGGGAAAATCTTCAAAGCTGATCAAAATCTAAAACGCCACCAACTTAATGGCAATGTCTATCGCATGTCCAGTACCAGGGCAACAGCTTTAATGGTAACAAAAAAATTAATCCAATGGATTATTGAACACTCCAGCAGCCACATGCCTCCTTGTGAATCCTGTTCTTCACAACATTCACTTATACTGCCAAATTGTTCTGAAGGGTAAACTAGAAAAAACAAAGTACACGGGCACGAGTTTAAAACCAATCTGCCCAGAGTAAACTACGCAAGCTTAGCATGGGCTAAAAAAACACAAAGATTATTTAGTTATATGTTGCGCTAGCTGTTACTACCCGGCTTCGCCCGGGACTTGGATCCACCACGCCCGGCCGCCTTTGTCTCCCCAGTGGCGATGTTCACACACCACAGCAGTTACTCGTTTGAGGCTGAGTCGACCTAGGGGAGGCCCAGGACCGGTTAAAATAATCGTCACCGGTGGTGGCGGTGAGCGGGAATCGAACTTGGGTCGCCGGGTTCGTAGCGCAGCGTAGCGCTAACCGCTACACTACGGGTCACGTGACAGATTTGACGTCACAGCTCACTTGCCGTGCAAAAAATAAATGCATTATCGAGCTCCCCCCCCCCCCAAAAAACAAAAGTGTATTTGTGTAATGTTTGCACGGTGTACAGTCTGGAAAGTACCCACATGGCAAATTTCCAGTTTGTTGCATGTCGGGAAGTACGCTAAACATTTTGAACAGACACACATATTCACAACTTTGCCTTTTATATATATGGAGAAGATAGGTATAAACGAAAATAACCTTGACCAGCTCTACACAATTGCAGTGATTGCATGATTGATACAAAAGAGGGGAATGGCGTTTCAAATAACTTCCTGTGACAACGACCAAGTTCTGTAGATTGTAAACAGTACACCAATGTGCTTCAAGACAACCAAGTGTCTGCAGGTGTGACATTTTTCTGCAACCAAAATCTCAAGTGCAGAAGCTGCATTATCCTCTTGAGAACGCTCCAAACTTCCCCCTCTACTTGGCCACTGATCTTCAAGTATAACACGGCAAAGCCGGCCGCGTACAGAAAGTCAATGCCTGTTTCATCACGCCGTGCACACCCCCAGCCCTTGCGTTAAAAACGTCACCCCCCCCCCCCCCACACACCCGAGGGCTCACCACCACCAGCTGTCGAGAGAGCGCGGCTCTGATATGCTCAATATTGGTCTTACTTTGCTTGAGGCCAGGGTTGGTGAAGTCCCAGGTCTCAGAGTCATTTTTAAACACATTCAGACGCGTCGCCTGTAAAGAGGACACAGCAGGGGGAAAAGATAAACATTATTCGTGGCCAGCATATAGGGCATAGATGCTGGGAAAAAAATATATAACTTTAGAACCTTCTTTGGTTCTTTCGGTAAAGTCACCACGTAGAATGAGGATAAAATAATAAAATAAAACAATAAAATTCTCACGACGTTTCGGCCACAACACAAGTGGCCTTCTTCAGGTGAAAGGAACAAACCTGTCGTCCCGACCTTGTGTTGTGGCCGAAACGTCGTGATAATTTTATTGTTTTATTTTATTATTTTATTCTCATTCTACGTGGTGACTTTACCGAAAGAACCAAAGAAGATGAATCCTTGCAGTCACGAAAGCTTTAAATCGAAACTTTAGAACCATTTAAAATTTACAAGCATAATAATTATTAAGCGGTCATTACCCCTGAGACAATTACGGCACGCAACTTGCGGTAAAGCCGAGGTACTTAACGCAACCCTTAACTTCCTGGGAGATGAATGAATAAGAGCTGCCACACGTAGCAAGTCAACGATAAGCTAAACTTTCGCACCGTACGTAGCAAAAGCGTGCTTATCGGAGTTGTGGGAAAACAGTGGCCTTCTGCCACCAGTTTTTTTTTTAAGATCACGTGTTGATTATCCCTCTTCGTTGGAACAAGCTCCCTTCGTGTTTGCAGATAAAAATCGCTATCCCTCGGTGGCCTATTTAAATTCCAAACTTGTTTAATCGCACATAAGTTTGGCATGCTCTGCCTAACTCGGTATTATTTATTCGCAGTGTTCCTCGTGTACTGTAAAGCGTTAGCCTTGATCGTATACCTCAAAAATGTTGAAGTGCCATAACCCCGTTATGAAAATGATGCATTCGTTATTACTGTTCTGTAATTTTATTTCCTGCTAACAATGTAACATCTCCCCTCAGGTACTCTGCAGGTCTCGCAAAGCAGCCTATGGCTGAATGTTAATCACCCGTCACCAAATAAAATCGAATTGAAAACCAACTCTACCCTTCCCACTGGATGCGAATTTTCCATTAACTGGCTCAGGGCACTGGCTCAGATGAGAACCACCCTCACACGGTAATATCAATTGGGAAAAGTTTGACTTTAGACAACGGCAAGGATGCCCGTCATGCACAATGGGTTGTTGTAGGTTGTGGGGCTGTGTGGTGGGCAGCTGTAAAATCCATTGGGTGCATTGTATTTCTATGCTGCCACAATATATGCTACACTCCTTTACCCCGCACACAAGTCAAATAACCCCCACAACAGGCATCGAGTGCGGAAGCCCTCATCTAGCAATGAATTGCCGTGTGTATTCAGCATTATTTGCTCACCAAAGTGGTCAATTCAGTAATATTAAATGAAATCTTTGGTCTGCGGGTGAAAAAAACCCAGGTTGTGGTGCACACACTTGTGAATGTACAAAGTATCGGTTGTACTTGCCCTTGCATAGTCCACTATAAGAGTACAGCAGCCCGAATAGATGTCCGCTCCATTCAGAGATGAGTTCGCTCTCTCGGCGCTCTCAACCGAAACAAACGTGGCCAAAAATTAAGGAAAACACGACCATTTCATTTTAAAAACAATACATTTAGCATCTCCAAAATAACACGTAAAATTACGTGAATGGCGGACATATCGTTACGGTTATGCATCTCGTTGAAAGGATATTCCACAAAGGCCTGCAGGCCATTCTTCCTGAAGATAACAATGCGTTGCAGAGGCCCAAATGGTTTGCAAATGTTGTAAAGCACATCCTGCAGGACCACATGGAGCACACAAACGCAGCGAGGTGATTTTGCACGCATTACCAAGTAAATTTGAAAAGCTTTTTTTCCAGTGAATTTTTAAGATCGAGCCATACAGGACATCAACGCTTTCCAAAATCAACATTAGGTCTATATATTGTTTTTTATTCAATGCCATTGGTAGACTTCAAAGCACAAACAAAAAACACGACTTCAATTGCCTCAAATGAACCAAAGGATCAATGTAATTTCCTTAGCAAAGCCATTCACTGTAATCCAAAACGGACATAATTTCACTCGTATAAATGAAACATGCGCGTGTGTGCGTGGCACACCCGACAAACTATTCACACATTAATGTCCAGCTGCTGTAAGTGTAACAATGCCCACCGTGGTGATGGGGTAGATGGGGTTGAGAATGGTGAAGAGCAGGATGTGGTTGCTGTTGCCGTTGTCCCCCGGGACGCCAGGGCGCCAAAGCTTCTGGCTGGTAGAGAAGTTAAAGTAGGCCGGCTGCCCGCACACGTAGACGGAGCCCTTGGACGAGTAGTCGACGCAGCTGCGGGAGCTCTCCGGGTCTTCAAACTCCACCAGCGCCTGCCGCGTCTTGGGTATCATCACCACGTAGCTGCACGGAGGGAGCGATTCAAACGAGTGCCGTTATTCAAAGATGTGGCCGACTTTAAAACGCATGCCTGTTGTTAATGTTAAACACGAGGTTGGTCTGCTCCAAGTCACCTCATTTGATCTCAAGAAATGTTTCAATGCATGCAACGGAGTGGAGACTGGTTGGATGCAGGTTAGATGCCACGTCCCATTTCAGTTTGGCAGTGTAGTACGTTGGAATTGAATGTACTGTAAGAATATAATTATATTTAAAATACATCTTGAGGGTAATGTAGTCTTCTTCTGTCGATGTATCACCTGACAAACGAAGCCTCTTCAAACGTACATAAACAAGGTACGTGTGTGCACCATTTCAATACGAGATATTAATTTTTAACACGGTTACTAATCACAGTTGAACGTGTGCCGCTTTTGTCAGACGGCACAACAAAAGCAGCAGCGGCACTTTAATTCGGAGGGAATTCGTGACTTGGGGAAATTGAAAAACAAACGGTTTTTGTTTCGATTTAAAGCTTTCGTGACTGCAAGGATTCATCTTCTTTGGTTCTTTCGGTATAGTCGCGTAGAATGAGAATAAAATAATAAATTAATAAAAAAACACAATAAAATTCTCACGACGTTTCGGCCACAACACAAGTGGCCTTCATCAGGTGAAGGGACGAGACTGTCCCATTTCAGTTTGGCAGTCTCGTCCCTTCACCTGATGAAGGCCACTTGTGTTGTGGCCCGAAACGTCGTGAGAATTTTATCGTGTTATTTTAATTTTGATCGATTTATTATTTTATTCTCATTCTACGCCGTGGTGACTTTACCGAAAGAACCCCAAAGAAGATGAAGCGGTTTTTGGTTGGTCACTTCAGGCTGTAAAGGCCTCGAGTAAGCCACGCACGGCGTCGCCGATCACGCCGTGACGTGGGCAACGCCGCGCCCTCTCGTCCACCGCCACACGCGGCCACGACTTTTTATTTACGGAAGTGGTTCTTGAGCTTTAACCTGCAGCCTTGCCACCCCCCCTTTGGTTCTCAATATTTTTTTTGTTTAAACGTACAATGTTTATTAATTTAGAGGTTTGATGGAACAAAGTAGCGGTGCTTACGTGCCCGTGCTCAATGTGTTTCGATGATTTACCTTGTAAAAAATAATCTGGCACTGTCTTGCACCCCCAGAAAGGGCATCTCCCACCCCGTGCTTAAGAACCATCGAGTATTTTCGTGTTATGCAATTTCTTGAGTTGTTGAACCGAAAATTGGTAATACTCGAATTTCCAAGGTCTACGTTCACTCCACGTCCGCAAACACCACCACCACAACAATAATAACAACAATAATAACAACAATAATAACAACAATAATAATAACAACAATAATAACACCAATAATAATAACTATAATAACAATAATCTTTGTTTTTTTCGGTAAAGTCACGTATAAATAAGAAATAATAAAATAACATAATAGCGTACGACGTTTCGGTTGCAACACAAGCAGCCATCATCAGGTACAGAAGAGCTAAATTTACGAGAGAGGGGAGACACATAACCTCAGATGTATACACAGACACCCAAGTAGGGGGAACTAACACCGACACAATAGGGGACACAGAGAGAGAAGCATACCAAACAGACAAGAGTTTAGCAGAATTTGGAAACCAATATAAGCAACACAGACGGTCGGTCAAAACACAATTAACGCAAAGCCTGGTTGATTACGTTATTTCAAAGATTGCTAAATTGCAAGTTAAGTATGAAATTTAAGATACAGACGGCACACACACACATAGACATTAAAGTAGAGCGGACCAGCACAGGTACAAGCACACAGTGAAGTCGCCTTAAATAGGCAGAGAAGGCAAGGCTGAGAGACAATGGGACATATTAGCATGAGAAGGCAAGGCTGAGAGACAATGGGACATTTTAGCATCAGGTATGCATAGAGCAAAGTGGAGCACGGCAGCAAACATTCGGAAGCACCAAGACCGACACACAGGCAGAGACAGCACAGAGAAACAAATCCAAGCACAGACACAAAGGCAGATACACAAGCAGAGACAACACACAGACAACACAAGACAACACAAAGACAGACACAAAGATACAGACCTTATACCTCCCCGTAGAGGCGGTTTAAACTTGGTTCAAAGGTTTCGTGACTGCAGGAATTAATCTTTGGTGTTTTCGGTAAACAACAATAACAATAATACAGCTTCCTTCCCCATGCGGGCAACGGTCACCACCGACTGGTCACCTGACTAGGCCAAAGTGCCGCACGGCCTCCACGAGGTCCGACTCGAGGGCTGTGTCCGAGAGTCCCCGCACGTGAACCACAGCCGACGGTGGGGGCTTGTGTGGGTCCTCAAACGTGTCCTGTGCACGTCGGCAAGGAAGCAAACTCAACACGACTATTGTGCAAAGCTGTTGTTTCCTCCTATACCGAGAAGACAGTTTTCAGTTTCATTTATTTGGTATAGCCCTGTGAGCCATTCGGCTCTTGAATCGGGTGCAACCGCAACAAACAAAAACATGAACAAGAAAAACATCTTACAGTGACTTAGTGTGACTGTGCAAACAGAAAATCCAGGAAAAAATCAGCAAAATAATCCTTGAAATAGCACCGTACACCAACGCTGTGTGCAAAAATCCCAGTGGGATGCAAGTCAAACAACAACAACAACCACAAGACAACTAAGATTAAGCCATCAGTCTAACTCCGTACTACAACAAAACAATCATGGCCAAACCATAAAACTTTTTCAAAATCACCAAAATAAAGCCAAGGCTAACATCGCCGGCAAGTGATATCGGAGCAGATGCAGACACTTGCATTAAAGGGCTTTTTAAATCTGCATCCGTTTGGCAAAAAATGGCCATAGCTCAGTGCCATCATTTCAGTAATCGCTAAGAACGTTCGCGAGTTTAACTTTAAATCTAAACGGCCCTCGAGTTACAAACTCTGGAACTCGCATCCCCCACCGCCAGGTGCGCTTTTGTAGACGCTGTAAAGTTTATTATTCCGCAAAGTTTTTAATCACATTGGGGAGGGTCGAAGAGCTACCCCACGACGCCTATCGCGTGGGACATTTAACACTATCGGTATTTTAACTTAATTAGTATTTTAACTTTTGATTTAAAGCTTTCGTGACTGCAGGGATTAATATTCTTGGTTCTTCCGGTAAAGTCACCACGTAGAAGGGAAACAATAAAATAATAAAAATATAAAACAATACAATTCTCACGACGTTTTGACTGCAACACGAGCAATCATCATCAGGTGTGAAAACCACAGCAAGAAATTTTGAAAAAAAGTGGCGTTTTTATTTTTTAACGTCAGCACCACGGAGAGCGATTTGGCAGTTATTCAGATGGACGAGTCCATCTATTTTGATTTAAAGCTTTCGTGACTGCAGTAATTCATATTCTTAGTTTTTTCGGTAAAGTCACGTTGAAGAGAAACAACAAAATAATAAAATATATATAAAACAATAAAAAATTCTCACGACGTTTCGACCATAACTCAAACGGTCGTTATGGTCGAAACGTCGTGAGAATTTTTTAATTGTTTTATATATATTTTATTATTTTGTTGTTTCTCTTCAACGTGACTTTACCGAAAAAACTAAGAATATGAGTCCATCTATGTTCGGAAAAGAGGGGGGAGAGGAAAATAATGGATGCGGTCTGAAAGTCACCATATGCGTGAACAATCAATTAAGACCCGAAATGATTTATCAAATCCTTCCAATGATTTCTAAGCCAGAATCCATCTTCTCGGTTGAAATTGTCTCTGTGCTTGTTGTATATGTGGATAGCCTCATGAACGAATCTCTCCTGGTAGGCAATGTTTTTATTTTTCGCTCTTTCGGTAAAGTCACGTTGAAGGGAAACAATAAAATATATATAAAACAATAGTGATAATTTTTATTGTTTTATATATATTTTATTATTTTATTGTTTCCCTTCAACGTGACTTTACCGAAAGAGCTAAGAATATGAATTACTGCAATCACGAATGTTTTTATTGTTTTATTTTTTTATTATTTTAGTATTTTAACGTTCAGTGCAAAGAGAATACACACCCTTAGAAGAGAAAACGCCGTCTAAAAAAATTACACTGGAAATAGCCCAAAGTGTTAACGAACACGAAATCCACGTTTACCAAAACGCGTTTTACTGAACGTAAGCAGAGCCTAGCGATGCTGTGGTCCGCGTGGTCCATCCCCCCCAACAACAACGAGAAGCTCTTCGCAACATATAGTCTCACACAACTCGCCTCACGGCACTGGAATCCGCGGGTTACAACGCTAAACAATCACGTTAAATAATATAAACACGGCTGGTGGTGGTGGTGGTACGTCGCCTGAGTGAAGCCTCTGGCCTAGGCCTCACAACGAGGCTCTGGGCGAGGAGTAAAAGAAACATCTTCTCGTTATAAAAACACCTCGTCAAGTCGCTCGTCACTGACGCTCACCATCGCGCCCGCCTGGACGCGGTTGTTGCCTTCGCCATTGACTCCCAGGCGCTTGGCCGCGTGCCGGGGGGAGGAGGCGGCGGTGGTCGACATTGTCGTGGTGGCGTGGAGCGCCGGAGGGAATCGATTCGCGATCCTGTCGCTTGAAACCGACGCCCGCGCGGATCGCCGAGCGTCAGCAGCAGCGGGCGGCGGCGGCGGGGCGATTCCAACGCGTGACATCAATTCTCGGATCGATGTGTCCTCTGGCGATGTTCGCGCGGCTTGGTGTGACCCCACAGCCACTCGTCACGTGACGCCTCTCTCGGCCGACTGGGGCCGGCGACGGAGATCTGAAGCAGTCGTGGGCCTCCCCCTAGGTCGGACTCGGACTACAATAAAATTTGATTATATTTTTATAATATTAAATAAATAATAATAATGATGAATAAAAATACTCAAATTTGATTATTGTAAAATCATTATAAATAAAAATAAATTAAAAATAATCAAATTTGATTACTTTTAAATAAGAATAAATAAATAAAAACCAAATTAGATTATTTTTAAAATAAGCATAAATAAATAAAAATGTATAAACTAAAATAATGAAATGCAATTATTATTAAATAATACATAAATATACATTATATGTTAAAATAATCAAATTGGATTATTTTTAAATAATAATGAATAAATAATAAAATAATTGCACAATTTCGATCACTTTTGCATAATAAATCAAGGCAGAAATATTTAATTAATAATTTAGCCTTTCTTTATAACCAAATTTTAATATTTTTAAGTAATAATAAATAAAACTTACAAATAATAACATTTGATTATTTAAAATAATAAATAACATTCCGTTTAAAATTTAACTAAGCAAATTTGATTATATTTAAATAAGAATAAATAAATAAAAATAATCAAATTTGATTATTATATGAATTAAAAAAGAGGGATGACATTGTCATCCTCTCAGCCGACAAGGTCAATGCCACTGTCATCATGGATAAAATAGAATATAACAACAAAATTCAAGAATTACTCAATGATGGAAGCTATACAAAAATAAAGAGATCCCACCAACAGCCTCGTCATACAAACCAAAATCATTTCTGATTCAACCACATTAATTGATCAAACCAAACAGTTATCTTTGAAACCTTCTGCTGCCAGGCCACCAAGATTATACGGCTTACCAAAAATACATGAAGTAGATACACCCCTTTGTCCCATCGTCTCTACTACAGTGAGGGAAAAAAGTATTTGATCCCCTGCTGATTTTGTACGTTTGCCCACTGACTCAACACCGCACCATAGACTCAACACTGCCCATAGACTCAACACTGCACCATAGACTCAACACTGCACCATAGACTCAACACTGCACCATAGACTCAACACTGCACCATAGACTAAACACTGCTACCCATAGACTCAACACTGCACCATAGACTCAACACTGCACCATAGACTCAACACTGTACCATAGACTCAGCACTGCACCATAGACTCAACACTGTACCATAGACTCAACACCGCACCATAGACTCAACACTGCCCACTGACTCAACACTGCACCATAGACTCAACACCGCACCATAGACTCAACACTGCACCATAGACTCAACACTGCCCATAGACTCAACACTGCCCATCGACTCAACACTGCACCATAGACTCAACACTGCACCATAGACTCAACACTGCACCATAGACTCAACACTGCACCATAGACTCAACACTGCACCATAGACTCAACACTGCACCATAGACTCAACACTGCACCATAGACTCAACACTGTACCATAGACTCAGCACTGCACCATAGACTCAGCACTGCACCATAGACTCAGCACTGCACCATAGACTCAACACTGCACCATAGACTCAACACTGCACCATAGACTCAACACTGCACCATAGACTCAACACTGCACCATAGACTCAACACTGCACCATAGACTCAACACTGCACCATAGACTCAACACTGCACCATAGACTCAACACTGCCCATAGGGGGATCCCTGCCTAGGGGGTGTGAGGGGTCAAGGGGATCCCTGCCTAGGGAGTGAGGGGTCAAGGGGATCCCTGCCTAGGGGTGTGAGGGGTCAAGGGGATCCCTGCCTAGGGGGTGTGAGGGGTCAAGGGGATCCCTGCCTAAGGGGTGTGAGGGGTTTTACCGGCACGAGGTTTTCGCCGAGGCTTCGCGGTCCGCCTCCCTGAGCCGCTGTAACTTTAGTGACACCACGTGGTGGCTGTAACTTTATTGACACCACACGGTTCCTGTAACTTTATTGACACCACGTGGTGGCTGTAACGTTGACACCACACGGTTTCCTGTAACTTTATTGACACCACGTGGTGGCTGTAACTTTATTGACACCACGTGTGTCACTGTGTGTATCGCTGTGTGTGTGTACGCTGTGTGTGTCACTGTGTCACTGTGTGTGTCGCTGTGTCACTGTGTGTGTACACTGTGTGTGTACACTGTGTGTATACACTGTGTGTGTGTACACTGTGTGTGTACACTGTGTGTGTACATTGTGTGTGTACACTGTTTGTGTCCGCATTGAACCGAACCCCCGGCAAGGCCATCTACTTAATGACGAGAGAAAATTCACACGAAATGTCCTTTTCAATGAAGTCTTCCAGATGTAAATTGATACAAGCTTTTAATGAAGAAATAAAATCATCTAATTCAAAACACAACACAATTCAAAGATGCTTCATTTTAAAACTTCAAAACGGAGCATGGGGTACTTGCGTGAATGCGTCCTTCGTGTGCAAATGTTGTGACTTTCCTGGCCTGAAGGCCGTCAATGTGTTGGACCCTTATTGGTGCACAGCGTCTCAACAACAGCAGTGGGGTTTGCTTCAACCGATAGGTACGAACATCCAGACGTCAATCAGCAAGGAGCATTTATAGTCCTAGCTAGACAAAATCTACGTCAACACGTAAGACAAAACTACAATTCGTGTTGTAGAGAATGTACCTCCTCCTATACGTGTAACTTTTAAGTGGTATGCCTTGTAACTGGTGAATGATCCGAGCGTGCTCCCTATTTCAAAGACAATGAGTTGCTCCAGAGGCAGACGCTTTGTGAAACACAAAAGTACCCTTTGACCTGTATCACAAGAACAATGAGTCTCACCTGAGTTCTCTGTACAGGTTACTTTCAAACACACACACACACTTTGTCCTAACATCACTTATTCAATGTTTGACCCTCAGACAAAATGTTACATGCACGCGCACAATCAGACAAGTATTCATTCTAAATCATTGACGGGCATATTAACAACATTGAATTACTGCAGCGAAATTGACTGCATCACGTTACATCGTATTAACAAGAAGTTATTTTACAAATACGCACCGTCTGCTTAACAGTGTATGTACAACGTACTATTGCTTCGTCATTCAAAACGAGTAGGCCGTTGCATGCTGGCGTCTGGGTCAAAATGTAGCAAATTCTAAACATTACGCTACAAATAATAGATCACGGCGTTTCGATGGCAACACAAGCAATCGTCATCAGGTGGGACAAGCACAGCTGCAATAAGAGGAATCTGCTGGAGTAGGCGCCTACTACTTCAGCAGTTTCTCTTGATGTGGTTGTCCCACCTGATGACGATTGCTTGTGTTGTGATCTAAACGCCGTGATCTGTTATGTTTCTACCCACGTGGTGACTTTACCGAAAGAACTCAACAGTGTGGATTCCTGCAGTCACGAAAGCTTCGAATCAAGATTGCCTACAAACTACACAACTGGGATGACACAGCAATCATCGCCCCCTACTGACAGGCTCTTGTCCACATGCAGGCCGATGCAGGGTCACCACCTTGTGCCACACAGGGGCAGCTGCTACTTGGGGATGCTCTTCGAGTATTTCAGACGAGGTACGACACAAAACTCCGAGTTGCTGATGCGATTAAGCAAGCACCATGTAAATGCAATTATTATAACATAGTGAATGCTTGGGAGCTTATTGTCTCTCGCTCCTGGTTAAAGATCTACCCAACCCACAGGTCCACAAAGACTGGCCGCCCTTACTCTGCAGGTTGAACCTAGCAACTGAGTGTCCAACTTCACGTTCTTGTCATTAAAGGCCTGTGACAAAGGTGCATCTATTGTAGCGACATCGTCTCTGGCTTACACATCTACCGGGTCTCCACTTGACTTTGTATTATCTCGGAGGAAGTCCACCCACACCTCCACTTCCACAAACTGCTGGGAGTTGCCTCGCTCTGCCTCACAGTCAGAATTCTCCTCCTGCTTCACGTTGCCTCCATCGATGTGAAGGTCCCATTTTGGAGTTGAATCTTCATCTTCACATTTTACCTTCACTTCTTCGCTCTTCACCATCACTTCTTCCCTCTTCACCATCACCTCTTCATATTTCACCTCGATACCTTTAAAAGTGTCCAAGCTGTTATTTTCTTCCGATTCGTGTTTCATGAGGGATGGGCTTATTGTGGCACTTTGACTTTCACAAGCTGATTTCAGACTCCACTCCTTGTGGATCTTCTGATGCTTTTGTGTTTTCTGGTGTACTTGAAGATGTGGTTGCTGTGAAAATGCTTTCCCGCACGGAGTGCACCAGAAGGGTTTCTCTCCTGTGTGTGTTCTCTGGTGTGTTACAAGAGTATATGAATGTGCAAACGTCTTCATGCACACACTGCACTTGAAGGGTTTCTCTCCTGTGTGTTCTCTGGTGTTCTACAAGAGTATATGAATGTGCAAACGCCTTCCCACACACAGTGCACTTGAAGGGTTTCTCTCCTGTGTGTGTTCTCTGGTGTTCTACAAGAGTAGATGACTGTGCAAACCCATTCCCACACACAGTGCACTTGAAGGGTTTCTCTCCCGTGTGTCTTCTCTGGTGTATTACAAGAGTAGATGAATGTGCAAACGCCTTCCCACACACACTGCACTTGAAGGGTTTCTCTCCCGTGTGTGTTCTCTGGTGTATTACAAGAGCAGATGAATGTGCAAACGCCTTCCCACACACACTGCACTTGAAGGGCTTATCTCCCGTGTGTGTTCTCTGGTGTATTACAAGAGTAGATGAATGTGCAAACGCCTTCCCACACACACTGCAC